TATTGTCAACACATATTTCCATAGGATCTTCTTGTGGAATTTTTAACTCTTTCAACAAGTTCCTTAGCCAAATTGCATTGCAAATGCATGTTGTAGCGGCAACATATTCGACTTCATAAGTTGACAGTGTGATGATAGGTTGCTTCTTTGACATCCAATTAAAAGCAGTATCTCCTATAAAGAACACAAAACCAATAGTGCTCTTTCTATCGTCCAAGTCTCCACTCCAATCGCTATCACTATAGCCAACAATTTCATAATTGTTAGAAGAGTAATAGTGTAAGCCAAAGTTTGTTGTACCTTTGATATATCGAAGGATTCTCTTTATTGCCTTGAAGTGAGTTGTTGTTGGAGCTTCCATGTAACGACTTACGACTCCTACATCATAGAGAATATCCGGCCTTGTACTTGTCAAGTAACATAGACTTCTAACCAAACTTTTGTAAAGAGTTGGATCCATAATCTCTCCATTTTCATGCTTACTCAACTTGCTGGCACATTCCATCGGGGTGCCAACCGGGTTGGCATCATCCATCTTGAACTTCTTAAGGACTTCTTTTGCACAACCTTCTTGGATGATAAAAATTCCTTTGTCTTCTTGCTTTACTTCAATGCCAAGATAATATGCCATGAGCCCCATATCTGTCATCTCAAATTCATTTGACATGTCTTTCTTGAACTCTTCAAACATGCTTAAATTGTTCCCAGTGAAGATCAAGTCATCAACATATAAGCACACAATTAAAATATCTCCACTTTGCGCTTTAATATAGAGTGCATGCTCATATGGACACTTGATGAAGTTCTTGTCTCGAAAGTACTTGTCGATTCGAACATTCCAAGTTCTCGGTGCTTGCTTGAGTTTGTACAATGCCTTTTTCAACTTGAAGACTTTTTCTTCTTGCCCTTTTACTTCATATCCCTGTGGTTGCTCGATATAAACTTCTTCTTCGAGAAAACCATTCAAGAAGGCCGACTTCACATCCATTTGATAGATCTTCCATTCATTTTGGGCTGCCAAAGAAATGATCAGTCTAATAGTTCCAAGGCGAGCAACAGGGGCAACTACCTCATCATAGTCAATTCCTTGTCTTTGACTATAGCCTTTTGCCACCAGTCTGGCTTTGTATCTCTCCATGTCTCCTTTTGCATTCTTCTTCGCCTTGTACACCCATCTTACTCCGATTGCTTTGTGTCCTCATGGAAGTGTAGTAATTTCCCATGTATCATTCTTCGTGATTGACTTTATTTCTTCATCCACGGCGTCTCTCCACTTTACATTTTCAACAGCTTCTTGATAGCTTAAAGGCTCGCAATCACCAAAAAGACAAAAGAGGTTAATGTCATTTTGGTTTTCGGTTACCTCATAAAGCTCTTCAATGCTCCTTAATCATAGTGTCCTCTCACTTGAGCTTGTTTCATCCAACCTTGGTGTCGGTGATGCAGATGGTGTAATATGTTAATCTATCATTGGTTGTTTCATTTCATCTTCTTCTTCTTCTTCAAAATAAGGAAGAAAATCATACCTGTCTTCTTGAACACTCCAACCTCAACAATATTCTTCTTCGAACTCCATGTCACGACTTATGACAATCTTTCTACTATTTGGATTATAGAGCTTGTACCCTTTGGAGCTTGAGCCGTAACCCATGAATACATACTTCTCACTTTTATCATCGAGCTTTGTTCTCCTTTCATTTGGAACATGGGTATATGAAATGCTTCCAAACACTTTGAGGTGAGAGATCCCTGGCTTTCTTCCACTCCATGCTTCTTGTGGTGTCTTCTCATGCACACTTCTTGTTAGGGAACGGTTTGTCAGGTAAACCGCACATGCCACTGCTCGGCCTAAAACTCTTTCGACATCTTCTTACTCTTAAGCATGCTTCACACCATATTAAGTATGGTCCGGTTCTTTATCTCCACTACTCCATTTTGTTGTGGAGATCTTGGAACTGTTAGTGAGCAGCGGATTCCATGGTGTTCACAATATTTGTTGAACTCATTTGAAGTAAACTCTCCTCCTCGGTCAGATCTCATGGCCTTAATAGAAAGACCACTTTGTTTCTCCACAAGGGCTTTGAACTTCTTAAAGTTTTCAAACACTTATGACTTCTCCTTTAAGAAATAAACCCATGTTTTTCTAGAATAATCATCAATAAAGAGGATAAAGTATTTATTCTTACCAAAAGAGTTTGGATTGATTGGTCCACAAACATCAGTGTGTATGAGCTCTAGTGGTTTTGTCGCTCTTGATGTTGATTCCTTTGGAAAGCTTTTTCGGAATTGCTTCCTAGTTAAACATCCTTCACATAGTTGGTCTGGGTGGTTTATACTAGGCAAGCCTCTCACCATCTCCTTCTTTGACAAACATTCTAGACTACCGAAATTGAGGTGTCCAAATCGTAAATACCATAGCCACAAAGAGTTGGTATAACAAGCCTTGAGACACTTTGCCACATCATTTTGAATGTTCAAGAGGAACATTCTATTCTTTGACATAGGTACCTTAGCGATCAAGTTATGCCCACAATCTCTTAAGAAAAAACTATGTTCTTTCAAGTGGATGTCATATCCTTTCTCCAATAATTGTCCCAAGTTCAAAATATTATTTTTCATGTTAGGAACATAATAGACATTGGATATGAACTGATGACTCCCATTCTTTAAGCGTCTGAGAATTTTACCTTTGCCTTTGACCAGTATCTTTGAGTCATCTCTAAATGAGACATTTCCAGTTGTCGCTTCATTGATCTCTATGAACATGCTTCGATCGCCGCACATGTGGTTGCTTGCGCCGGTGTCAAGGTACCACTTGTTTCTTTTCTCTTCAAATTGTTTTTGGCACGCGAGCAACAAAGTTTCTTCTTCTCCACCTTTTTCTTCTACAAAGTTAGCTTTCTCCACAACCTTCTTTGAGAATCTACACTCAGATGCATAGTGACCAATTTTGTTGCAATTGAAGCACTTGATTTGTAACTTGTTGCATCTTGACCATGAATTTCCATTTCCACGACCTTTTGTTGCTTGTGGATTCCAACTTCTTTCTCCATTGTTGAAGTTGTTGGAGTAGTTGTTGTAATTGCCTCTTCTTTCTCCTTCATGTCCTCGTCCACGTCCACGTCCACGGTCTTGGCCACGACCTCGTCCTCTTTGACTCTTATAATTCGCATAGTTTACTTCCTTTGCATTGAGTTGTAGTAGTAGTAGTTGCTCCATAGTCTCCTTTTGTTTAGTTTGTCTCTTTTATTTTTCTTCGTATGCTTGTAAGGAACCCATAAGTTGCTCAATAGTCATGGTGTTTAAATCCTTATTTTCTTCAATGTTGGTAACAATGAAGTCAAAACTTGGATTTAAAGTGCGAAGTATTTTCTCCATGACTTTCACCTCATTAACATCTTCACCATTTCTTTTAAGTTGATTGACTATGGACAATACTCGAGAAGAATAATCAGAAATTGACTCAGACTCTTCCATAAATAAACGTTCAAACTCACCTCTAAGAGTTTAAAGACGAATCCTTTTCACCAGCTCCACTCCTTTGTTGCAAGTTTGAAGCTTGTCCCATGCTTCTTTGGCCTTCGTTGCATTGGAGATCTCAAATGTATCTTCATCCACCGATTGATAAATGAGGAAGAGAGCTTTCTTGTCTCTCTTTCTTGACTCCTTTACACCATGGCTTAAGGAGGCTTCATGTTGCTCCTTGAAGCCTTTCTCAACGATATCCCACACATCTTGAGCTCCTAGTAGTGCCTTCATCTTGATACTCCAATTGTCATAGTTGTTCTTTGTGAGCATCAACATTTGAAAAGGGAAACATCCATTCGCCATCTTTTGAGGACCTTCAAGCTCTGATGCCACTTTGTTGGAAATAAAGCCTTTTGTGTTTAATGAAAGTGTGTGGAAATATTAGAGGCTTGAATAGAAACTTGATAAATAAGAGAATTATTTATGGAAGAAAGGACTTTGTATTTTGCTTGATACAAAAGTGTAGAGTTACATCACTATTATAGTACTCTAAGAAAAACTCTAGACACACTAATTCTAGAGAGTTCTCAACTCTAGGAATTCCAAGAGCATTTTAGAAAATATTACAATCCTAAGAAATATCTGGACACTTCAAATATTAAAAAAGTTTTCTAAAAACATTAATTAAAATTACCTAAGTTTAAAATAGTTAAGCCTAAAAATCTAAATAATATATTTAGTACAAAATCAAATTTAGTCTTTCAACAGGACTATCTCTTGAAAGCAGGATGTAGGGATTCATAATTTCATGTTGGTGATTTCTTGAAATGATTGATTGATATTTAATTGTGGGTGAAGGTTCGTTGTGGGGGATGATGATATAATGGCTGTGAAATTTGTGGTGGGTGAAGGTTCGTTATTGTTTTCTAAAGACGCCATAAATGTTGATGAATGAAGTTTTTTTTAGGGTTTCAATGAGGACAAATGGAAAAGAGAAACAAAGTGGAGAGAGAGAAATGTAATGAAAGAATATGAAAAGAATATTGTTTTGTTATTTGAAGAGATGAAATGATAAAGAGAAATTTAGATTTGGCCAATGGTGAAATAACACATGTGGATATGCTACATGACTGAATGATTCTGTAATAAAATTATCTCAGAATGTAATCTTAAAGGAAACTTTAAGAGCTTACACGTGGTGTAATGTGATGATGTCGAATTTTGAGAAGATATATGATATATAGAAAGAACTTGTTAGAGTGTAGTAGTATTTTGGTAAGAAATTGGAGACGAAAGAGAGAAAATTAATTAGAATAGTAATATGTTATTAATATCATGTTAACACATGTCCGTTAGCCAACTTAAAAAAGAACTAACATGGAACCCTCATTATGAGTATCTCATTATTGAGACTATCCACAATTTCAGAAAAGCACATGTGCACCACTAGTTTAGAGATAATATCTAACTTTGGAGTTCACAGTATATATAGTCCTCAACCTTCAGCCAAACCAAAACCAACATTTCTAAACATGTCTTCTGCAATAATAATACCAGCACTATTTTCTTTCCTTCTCCTAACGGTCATTTACCTATCATTCCGAATCTTTTTTCATCCAAAACAAAAAACCAATTTCCATAAAAAGCCACCAGGTCCACCAACTCTACCTATAATCGGAAACCTTCACATGTTAGGCAAACTTCCACATCGAACACTTAAATCACTCTCCAAAAAATATGGTCCAATCATGTCTTTGCAACTTGGTCAAGTACCAGCTGTAATTATCTCATCTTCTAAAGCAGCAGAGTTATTCCTCAAAACACACGACCTTGTTTTCGCAAGCCGACCAAAGATTCAAGGATCTGAGCTCATGTCTTATGGTTCTAAAGGGGTGGCTTTTTCTGAGTATGGTCCTTATTGGCGTAGTGTCAGGAAAATTTGCACTTTGAAACTTCTTACTGCTTCCAAAGTGGAGATGTTTGCTCCTATTAGAAAACAAGAGTTGGGTGTTTTGGTTAAATCATTGGAGAAAGCTGCTTTGGTGGGTGAGGTTGTGAATGTTAGTGAGGCTGTAGAAAATCTGGTTGAAGATATTATATATAAAATGATATTAGGTAGAAGTAAATATGAGCAATTTGACTTGAAGAAGTTGGTTCAAGAAGCTTTGGTTTTGATTGGAGCTTTTAATTTGGCTGATTATGTCCCTTGGTTAGGAGTTTTTGATCTTCAGGTATGTACTCCTTCTCCTTCTGATCTTGATTATAAGCAAAAAAATAAAAAATAAATTAATATATATTTATATAAGGGAAAGCATATATGGAGAGTTTTTCGTCTCTTAAATTTAGGGATGACAATTGAGTAAAATCAATTCTTCAATCCTACCCATTGAAATATCACAAATTTTTACTCTAAAAAAATTGTACCATTACTTTTAAAAATGAGATTGGAAGTGTTTGGCGGTCATATAATCTTAGATGACACTGTTGTACATATAAATGATGAGGAAATGAGAGAAAGCATCACTAAAATTGTAGGGGTGTGAGGGGTGTGGTTGGTCTGCTTTAAATGTTGTGGGTCAATCCGGTGGAGTCTTAACAATTTGGATAGTATGAGGGGATTTTAACGCTATACAATCGCCCGAGGAAAGGAGAGGTAGAGGCCAAAACACGAAGGTGGATATGGAGGAATTCAACACATTTATAGAAGACATTGAATTGGTGGATCTTCCGGCTACTGGTAATAAATTTACATGGTTTAAAGCTAACGGTTCTTGCTGCAGCAGGTTAGATAGATTTTTAGTGTCTGAAAATCTTATTTCTAAGTGGAACATTTTAGATCAATGTATGGGAGATAGAGATGTTTCCGACCACCGCCCTATTTGGATTAAAGCTAACACTCTGAACTGGGGACCTAAGCCCTTTAAGGTTTTCTGCTGTTGGTTTGAACATCCGAATTTTATGGATTTTGTCAAGAAGGAATGAGGTGTTATTCAAGTGGAAGGAAATGCAGCTCATATCATTTCGGAAAAGTTCAAAGTCCTAAGGAATAGGTTGCGTTGGTGGAATAAAAACATCTTTGGATGGGTAGATTTGAGAGTAGAGTCGGGGGTGGAGAGCCTTAATGTGTTGGAAGAAGACTTCCTGAATATGGATGGTTTTGTAGCTGAGGACAAGGTGATTAATAGAGGAAAGGCACAAGCTGAAGTGTGGAATAACCTACACTTGAAAGAAAGTTTGATTAAGCAAAAGTCTAGAGTCAAGTGGGTTAGAGAAGGGGATGACAATACTAAGTTTTTTCACTCACAGATGAAGGCAAGATTTAGATCCAATTCAATTACTGCTCTGAAGGTTGACTCGGATAGTGTAACATATGTGGTTTTGACTAAAAAGGCAGCCAGAGAGCATTTTCTTGACAGGTTTAATAGCACCTGTTCTGTTAGGCCGTCATTAGATTTGTCAGGTTTAATTTCTTAGTCATCTGCTGAAAGGGTACAACTAGAAAACCCGTTTTTGTCTGAAGAGATTCGTTTAGCTGTTTTCGAAGGGGAAGGTAACAAAAGTACTGACCCGGATGGGTTTAATTTGGAATTCATCAAGACATGTTGGGAAATTGTAGGGAATGAGGTTATTGCTTGCATCAAGTAGTTTCATAGTACTACGGTATTACCTAAATCTATGACTTCTTCCTTTTTAGCCTTAATTCCAAAATGTTTGAACCATCAAATGTCGGAAGAATTTAGGCCTATTTGCCTCGTTGGGTGTATTTACAAAATTATATCAAAACTATTAGCCTCTAGATTAAAGAACATTATAGGTAAACTAGTCTCAAGCTCGCAAACTGCTTTCATTCTGGGAAGGCAGATCTTGGATGGTGTTGTTGTAGCAAATGAAATCATCGATCTTGCAAAGAGAAATAAATTGAGTTGTTTTCTCTTCAAAATCGATTTTGCAAAAGCTTATGATTGTGTTGATTGGAAATTCTTAATCAAGCTTTTAGAGAAGATGGGCTTTGGTGATAAGTGGATCAATTGGATTAAAGGAGGTGCGCTGACTAGTTTTATGTCTGTGTTAATGAATGGAAGATTAACCAAGGATTTCAAAGCTTCTAGGGGTTTGAGGCAGGGAGACCCCTTCCCCCTTTCTTGTTTACTTTTGTTGTTGAAGGTCTTGCGTAAAAGGCGGTGGGAAATGGTCTGTTTCGTGGCTTCAGCTTAAATGACAGTTCGTCTATCAATTTGTTACAATTCACAGATGATACAATTTTGGTGTACAACGGATTATGGCAAAACCTTTGGGGAGTGAAAGCCATAATAAGGAGGTTTGAATTGATTTCAGGGCTGAAGACAAATTTCTCAAAAAGCAGACTGTACGGCATTGGCGTGGAGGAATCCTTTTTGAATGCTGCATCTCAATTCCTATACTGTAAGAAGGATTATTGCCGTTCGTTTTTTGGGGTTGACGGTTGGAGGGAACCATAGACGGATTGACTTCTAGAAACCAATGTTATCTTGCCTTTATGCGCGCTTGTCTTCTTGGAAGAATAAATGTCTATCATTTGGAGGCATGTTATCTTTAATTAATTTTGTTTTGATCAACCTACCGGTGCATCATCTGGCGTTTTACAAAGCTCCTTCAAAGGTTATTCAGTTGATTAAATCCATTCAGAGCAGATTCTTATGGACAGGTAATGTGGATAAGTTGGGTGTGGCTTGGGTGGCTTGGAAAACTGTGTGTTTGCCGAAGAATTGTGGTGGATTAGGTGTCAAGGATGTGGAATGTTCAACAAAGCATTACTTTCGTAATGGTTATGGCGATTGTTGACGGAAAGGAACACTATATGAAGTGAATTAATTTGGTTCAGATACGACAACTTTATTCATAGTTTTTATTCTAATCATGCTGAGGATTGTGGGCTTAGGCAATCTCTTTGGTGGAAAGATTTGATGACACTTAAGGATGAGGGTGATTCTAATACTCTATCTTGCTGGGTTACCTGTATATTGGGGGACGGATCAATTATTCCATTTTGGCTGGCAAGATGGCTGGGCAGCAGCGAGTTGTCGAAGGTATTTCCTGTTCTGTTTGAAAATTTGGAGAATAAACTTGCAACCGTGGCAGACATGGGTCGATGGGTTGGACAGAATTGGGAATGGAACATATATCACCTTCGTGCCAACCTATGCTCTACAGCAGCCACTGAATTGGATGAACTATCGGCTCTGTTGGATGGTATATATCCTGTTCAAGGCGGTAAGGATGAATTCATTTGGCCTTTTGCAGCTGACAGAATTTTTTCTGTCAAAACTATCTATAACAAATTCTTAGAGTCTGCTAGTGTCTTGAGGGTGGAAACAACAAATTCTTATAATATCTATGCATACTAATGTGTCGATTTTATGTTCAATTTCCATATGCTTTTATGGTTTGGTTATGTTCAATAAAAATATTTATTTAGTAATTGATATTATATACTAATTTAAATCTTTTGTTAGGGATTAACACGGGGATTCAAGAAAATCAGTAAAACACTAGATGAGATGTTAGAGATGATAATAGCAGAGCATGAACAAACTACTGAAGTAGACAAAACTCGCGGGGAAGACTTTGTAGACATACTTCTTTCGATTATTCACCAAACCACTGATCATGAGAGTGAACAAAATCAAGTCATTGATCAAACAAACATCAAGGCTATTTTACTCGACATGATAGTAGCTGCAATTGATACATCTGCAACATCAATTGAGTGGACTTTATCTGAACTATTAAGACATCCAAGAGTGATGAAAATTCTTCAAAATGAAATACAAGATGAAGTAGGAAGTAAGAGAATGGTTGAAGAGAAGGATTTGACGAAGTTGAATTACCTTGATAGTGTGGTTGATGAAATCTTAAGACTTCATCCTGTTGCGCCCTTACTACTCCCTCGGAAATCTAGAGAGAACATCACAATTGATGGTTATTTCATAGAGAAAAAGACACGAGTCATGGTAAATGCATGGGCAATAGGGAGAGATCCTAATATTTGGTCAGAAAATGCTGAGGAATTTTATCCAGAGAGATTTATTGACAAAAAAATGAATTATCAAGGATACGAGTTTGAATCTATACCATTTGGTTCTGGTCGTAGACGTTGCCCCGGAATTCAATTGGGCTTAATTACTGTTAAGTTGATTGTAGCTCAATTGGTGCATTGTTTTAATTGGGAACTCCCATATAATATTAGTCCTTTGAATCTGAACATGGAGGAAAAATTTGGACTCGCAGCAGCAAGAGCTCAACATTTACATGCAATACCGCATTATCGTTTGGTTGATGCCAAACATGAATAAATCTATGTACATTCAACAAGTTTATGACTAATAAATATAACGTTTAATTGCAACTTTGGTCCCTCTATTTTGTGTTTTTTTGAGTTTTGATCCCCCCATTTTAAAAACCACGATTTTGGTCCCTTTTTTAAGTTTCAAGATTAATATTAGTCCCCTTGTCATTTTAAGTCATGTTTTTAATGAGGTGGCGCTTTGAATGTTGATGTGGCATGTCCATGTCAATTAAAATGTTTTTTTTTTAAATTTAATTTAATTTCCATGTCATTAACTTAAATATTATTTCATTTTCACAAATTTAATAAAATAAAATTTAATTGTAAACATTATTTCAAATCCAGTAAACCCTATTTCATCTTCAAACCGTTCAGGGTGAAGCTCGCTTCAAATCCAAACCTTCATCTTCAAACCGCTTCAGAATCCAGTTCATCTTCAAACCGCAGTTCATCTTCCGACATGTCCGAAATGAATTTACCTTTTTCCTCAACAAACCAGTCTGGGTCTGGTATAAGAAGAAGAGGTAATAGATGTTGGTGTGAGCTTGAGTCACTGTTGATGACGTCATGGACATGCGATAATTCGGGAAGAAGATTTCATGGGTGTGGTAATTTTAAGGTGATGAGAAAAAAAGGATGTAATTACTTTCAGTGGATTGATGAAGACATGAGCAGTCGTGCTAAAGATGTGATAAGATCTTTGAAAGACAAGAATGAGGAGCTCATGGATGTGATTAAGGACATCAAGAAAAATGAAGATTTGTTGAAGATGAAAATTAGGGTTATGTATTATTTTGTGGGGTTATCTTTGATGTTTGTCTTTTTAATTGTGTTTGCATTAGTTGCAACACATGTACTCAAATGATGTAATGTCAAGTGTTGTAGTTACTTTGATGTTTATGTAGTTTCCAAATGAACTAATTTCAAATGAAGAGTTATGATTGTCTGTGTTAATGAAGAGTTATGTTGTAGTTACTTTGATTGTCTTCAAATGATGTTTATTACAAATTTTCTGCAGTTTATTACTTTGATGTTTATTCCACTGAGTTGGATTGATTGATGGTTGCAAATGGAAAGCAGTTGCAACAGCGTAACGCGACTTGAATGTTTTGATTAGTTAGCATGAAAACTGTTATGAACTGCACCTGTAATATATTTATTCAGTTAATTTGTTTTGAAAAGGTCATTTGATGTAATTAGTTATGACTTGCATGTTTGGTTATTATACGAGTGAATCAACGATTTAGTTCTTGAAATTATAGGCCTAAGACAATTTGGTATCTGTTATTGAGGTTAGGTATATTGATTCATATTAGTGTTGTTAATTGATTTTTGCAGCCTCATTCGGTTCGGCTAAACCATCATAATCTGAAGCTTCTGAAATATTTCTGCTACTTTGATGATTACATTTCAGCTACTTGGGATCTATCCGAATTGGTTGAGCTGGATCTTCACCATCATTCTCAATATTTCTGTTTCATTGGCCTTGTATTCTCTTCTGCTTTAGAAGCTAACAATACAAAAACTACTAATATATACTCTTAATGCATTTTACATTTCCAATTAAATTAGTCTTTCAAATGATTCTCAATTTTGTTTTCTTTCTTCTGTTTTCTTTCTTTTAAACTACTGATATATACTCTTAATGCAAAATATTTTGGTTTGTTTTGAAAAGGTCATTTGAAGTACAACTGAATGTGCAGCTAGGACAATGCACGTGGAGCACATGTAATTAGTTATGAACTGCAACTGTAGTTATAATTTATGCTTTGAAGTACTAGTCACATTTAGAGAAGAATTTGACACAGTAGTAAAGAACACTTCATAAGCTATCTGTTATCAAAAATTAACAGTGAATGTATACACTTCATAACAGCAGAAGTTCTGTTTTGGCTCTTGCAACAGAAGTTCAAGACCGATGTATCATTACATTTACGGCAGCATTAAAGACAACATATTTTAACAAAAAGTAAAGCAAAACATAGAACTATTCTTGGGTTGGTGGCGGTGCTTGCGACCCTCCGTCTACAACAGTTTCTCCCGCTTCCTTGCCCGACTTGTCACCATTTTTTTTAGATTTTTTGTTGCCACCTTTAGGAATCGCTCTCTCCGCAGCTCGCTTCCCTTTACACGTTCGTTTGTTATGGCCAAAACTCCCACATTTCTTGCACTTGACAGTTTGAAGAGTTCTAGGCAGTGTATTTCTTATCATCGGTTCATCATTTGCCTTGTTACGGTTCTTCTTAGGACGACCGATAGATCTTCGCATGACTGGAGGGCAGATTGGGTTAGCAACATTAACAGGCCATAGTTGTGGGCCATTGGTTGGCATGATGATATGGCTATAAGTAGCCAGAACAGTAGATTTCCTAGACAATATGACACAATGATTTTAGTTAACGTACAAAAAAGATGAATGTAAATAAACATAATATACGAGTAGGTGATACCTATAGAATGATGAAACGTAATCTTCGGGCTCCTTCTTGTTATACCATATGCATGCAATAGCATGACAACATGGTATTCCACTTAAATCCCACTTCCTACAACCACATTTCTGTTGAAGCAAGTTCACAGCATATGTCTCAACACCGTTTGAAACTCCGAATATTGCAAAGTCATCATCTGCATGCCATGTTTGAAACTCCAAATTATAAGTACCACACCAATATTGTTATAACAGCAGCATATATCAAATTATAAGTATCACACCAATATTGTTATAACAGAAGCATAGCAGCAGCATATATAAGAGAATTTTCAAATTAACATTAACAGAATTTTGTATCAAGTTATAAGTACCATAGCAGCAACATATATAACAGAATTTTCAAATTAACATTAACAGAATTTTGTATCAAGTTATAAGTACCATAGCAGCAGCATATATAACAGAATTTTCAAATTAACATTAACAGAATTTTGTATCAAGTTATAAGTACCATAGCAGCAGCATATATAACAGAATTTTCAAATTAACATTAACAGAATTTTGTATCAAGTTATAAGTACCATAGCAGCAGCATATATAACAGAATTTTCAAATTAACATTAACAGAATTTTGTATCAAGTTATAAGTACCATAGCAGCAGCATATATAACAGAATTTTCAAATTAACATTAACAGAATTTTGTATCAAGTTATAAGTACCATAGCAGCAGCATATATAACAGAATTTTCAAATTAACATTAACAGAATTTTGTATCAAGCTATAAGTACCATAGCAGCAGCATATATAACAGAATTTTCAAATTAACATTAACAGAATTTTGTATCAAGTTATAAGTACCATAACAACAGCATATATAACAGAATTTTCAAATTAACATTAACAGAATTTTGTATCAAGTTATAAGTACCATAGCAGCAGCATATATAACAGAATTTTCAAATTAACATTAACAGAATTTTTATCAAGTTATAAGTACCATAGCAGCAGCATATATAACAGAATTTTCAAATTAACATTAACAGAATTTTGTATCAAGTTATAAGTACCATAGCAGCAGCATATAGAAGAGAATTTTCAAATTAACATTAACAGAATTTTGTATCAAGTTATAAGTACCATAGCAGCAGCATATATAACAGAATTTTCAAATTAACATTAACAGAATTTTGTATCAAGTTATAAGTACCATAGCAGCAGCATATATAAGAGAATTTTCAAATTAACATTAACAGAATTTTGTATCAAGTTATAAGTACCATAGCAGCAGCATATATAAGAGAATTTTCAAATTAACATTAACAGAATTTTGTATCAAGTTATAAGTACCATAGCAGCAGCATATATAAGAGAATTTTCAAATTAACATTAACAGAATTTTGTATCAAGTTATAAGTACCATAGCAGCAGCATATATAAGAGAATTTTCAAATTAACATTAACAGAATTTTGTATCAAGTTATAAGTACCATAGCAACAGCATATATAAGAGAATTTTCAAATTAACATTAACAGAATTTTGTATCAAGTTATAAGTACCATAGCAGCAGCATATATAACAGAATTTTCAAATTAACATTAACAGAATTTTGTATCAAGTTATAAGTACCATAGCAGCAGCATATATAACAGAATTTTCAAATTAACATTAACAGAATTTTGTATCAAGTTATAAGTACCATAGCAGCAACATATATAACAGAATTTTCAAATTAACATTAACAGAATTTTGTATCAAGTTATAAGTACCATAGCAGCAGCATATATAACAGAATTTTCAAATTAACATTAACAGAATTTTGTATCAAGTTATAAGTACCATAGCAGCAGCATATATAACAGAATTTTCAAATTAACATTAACAGAATTTTGTATTAAGTTATAAGTACCATAGCAGCAGCATATATAACAGAATTTTCAAATTAACATTAACAGAATTTTGTATCAAGTTATAAGTACCAAAGCAGCAGCATATATAACAGAATTTTCAAATTAACATTAACAGAATTTTGTATCAAGTTATAAGTACCATAGCAGCAGCATATATAACAGAATTTTCAAATTAACTTTAACAGAATTTTGTATAGCATTGTTAACATTAACATTAACAGAATTTTGTATCAAGTTATAAGTACCATAGCAGCAGCATTGTATAAGTTAACTTAACATTAACAGAATTTTGTACAACATTGTTAACATTAACATTAACAATCTTAGCATTGTATATAACAGGTATAACCAGCATTGTATAATTAACAGTCTTAGCATTGTATATAACAGTTATAATTAACATTCTGTTGATCTGATATAAATCCATATTTGTTGTCTTGTATAGATTGTAAGTCTTCTAATAACAAATTAAGGAACCATTTCCTTGAGTCTTTCGTTTCAGCTTCCACTACGGCATAAGCGATTAGATAAATCTTGTTATTTCCATCCTTACCAACAACACCTATTAACTGACCTCCAAAGTCCCCTTTAAGAAAACAAGCATCCAGTCCTATTAAAGACCTACACGTCGTTGCAAATGCTGCCTTACAAGCTTCTAAGCA